TTAATGCAGCTATGATTGGAGAAATAATTGAAATTGAACGAAATCTTAAAGCATTAAAATTAAATGTTGAAAAAAATGGTATTAAAAAAACATTTTTCTATCGTGCTGAAGCTCTTCTCAATTTTATTCGTTTATGTTGTACATTTTTTGGTAAAAAAATATTCATTTAACTAAAAAAAATCTATAATTTCTTCTCTTCTTTTCCTTTTTTTTTCTTCATTTACTAGAAAATCCACTAGAAAAATATCGTCCACGTTTACATGCATTATTTAATGTATGTGCAAATTGTTGGTTACATATGTTGGATATAATGTTACCAATGTCAATTGTACGTGTAGGAAAAAGTTTCATATTCGATGATGATCATAGTGATTTTGAAAATGATTCTATACTTAGACATTATCTTAAAGATGATCAACAGAAAATTAAAAGTAAATATTCTATTAACTTTTATAATAATTTTCAACTTATATTTTTGTGTTTGTTAAATAGAAACAAATAATGAATTACCAAATTTACGTCATATACTTTATTCAATTGTTTTGCTTGTTGAAAAATTAGATGAAATACAATTAATTGATCGTCTTTATCTTGAACGATTTCAAATGATTTATGAAATATGGATTTTAATTGATAATGAACTAAATTCACGTGAGAAAAATTCTATTACAATAACTTATAAGAAACCATCTAAGAAGAAATCAAATGAAAATCAAATACAAAAAATTTCATGGAATTTTCTTGGTGAATGTAATAAATATGAAAAAATGTTTGGAACATTTATTAGTAATATTAAGTAACATGTTTTCCTGTAATAGTGATTTATAGTTATATGAGGTTTGTTTTATTGTTAGTTTTTATTATATATCGATAGATAAAGAAAGTTGTAATTATTCTTTTATAAATAAATAAACGATAATGAACATAATCATGATAGATCATTCTCTAATTTTATTTTATCATTGTTTGTTATATTTAATCATTCACATTGATTTTTCATTGATAAAAATTGATTATAATCTATATATTTTACTTTCGAAATCAAAATTAATGACGAATTAATTATTCAATAGGATTGTGAATTGATCTTTATCGTTTTTATTCTCATAACATTTTAAAATTCTTACGAATGAATTAAAATTTCTACGTTATAAATAAACTTATATAATTAAAGATTTCTTAAGATAATAGAAACAATCATTGCATAGTCTTGAAGCAAAGATACCATCGACTATGAATACATTTTTCTTATTTCACTGTATTATAACAATGTCGAGTGAGAATGATAATATTTTGAGAATTATAGAGTTTTTTGAAGAAAATAAAATTGCCATTTCTTGAAATAACGAAAGAAAAAATAATCAAAATTGTTTTATAATGGGTTGTGCAAAAGTTCTGCCTTAATTTGATATTCAGTATAGCGTGATAACAACTCTTCGTAGAAATTTGATAGTTTTCTTTTATCGAAAGCTGACAAGTTCTTTGTAGCGCTACGATAGGAAATTGTAAACAGGTAAAAATAATCGTTTCCTATTATTGGTTGAGTTCGATATAGACATTTTTCTTACGGCCTTTACAAGCGAAAAGTGTTCACAATTAATAAATTATTTCGAAAAATAAGATTTTTTTAGCAATTAAAGTTAGTCAAAACTCCATATTTGATGTCCAATTATAGTTGAGTGAGCTCTCTACAAAAGCATATTATTGAAAACAGAATATTAGACATTATGAGAAAAACTTCATTGAATATTCTAGAAGGAAAAAATTAGGTTTTTTAAATAAAACTATTTTCTATGGGGCCTGTAATTTTGTAACTCGATTTTGAAAGCTGAATGCAAGACAAATTGATCAAATACTCTTCTTGTTACTGATATTGTGTGAAGTTGTCAGACATTTTTTTCAGTCAAAAATGTTCTTAAAACTTTTTAGTCTTGAGTAGGTATGTTGAACAAAATATTTTTACACAATTGTGTAGTAGAGACTTTACTCTTTCTAACACAAGAAAACTATTGAGCCTCCACAATGAGTTGTTGTCACACGATACTAAAAACAAAATGAATGCAGAGGTGTTGTACCACCCATTATGTTCTTTCTTAAGTCTGGCAACGATCGATTTATAAGCAGAATGAAGATAGAAATGTTCAATAGTTATTTAGATATCAATATTACAGCAGTAGTCAAAAGTCTTCGCTTTAACCTATATCGACCACTGTATCTGTTGGAGGCTTGAAAATTTGTGTACACATACATCACTAAGGATGTAGATCATTGACACTGCGGCGACATTATTGCTTAACGATAAAGAGGATTATGATGGATGGCACCTATTTCCTGCTCAGAGTATTATAATCTAAAACAGACTGCTGCCTCTAAAATTATGCGCTGTTTCTTACTAAAAATATGACTAATTCTTGATACTTTTACATGTAACTGAAATCCCATTTGCTGTCTTTCTTCACCAAAAAAGATAAGTTCATTTGCTCGAATATTGATGTTTCAGGAAACAAAAATAATTAGCATCGGTTATAACTTCCTCTGATATACTCGATAAACTAAGTATCAATCAAAAAAACAAATAAAAAATATGAATTGTTCTTCGAGATAGAATTGAAAAATTTTATAAAATTTTTTATAGTCTATTTTTCGAACTGATTTTTCTCGTTTACATAAATTTGATATATCAATATTAATTTTTCCGCGTAAATCAAATATATTAAAATAATACCATGTGACAGAATTTTCGAATCAAAATTAAATTTCATTATTTTAAAGACAATCACAAATGACGACAAAAAAAATAATAACTTTTAATATCTTAGTAACTGCTTTAGATATGAAATTGCGCCATATTTTTCTTTCTCTCGAGATCAATATCCAATTATTTTTTTTCAGATCATATGACTTTAAGAAAGTACTATTAAGGAAATAATAATCGAAAATATTTGTAGATTTTATTTATTCAGGTAATATATATTGGTATCTGTAAAAACTGAAAAGGTCGAAATGAATATTATACGAATCTGATTCTGGATTGCAATTCTTTTAAAAATTTTCAACCGGAATATATCTTCTTTGTGTGTATACAGATATCCACCGTTACCTTGGCTTTGATTGTAAAAGATAACAATAGTTACTTTGATACTTAATTTCAAAAACATTTTTTTATTAGTAAGAATCAACATAACCGTGGAATTCCATGTTCATGAAGAAGAATATTTTCTAATTGAAAACAGAAAAACGCAATATAGAATAAATGTCCGCAGTTTTAAACAAATTTAAATGTATCATAATATTTTAATACATTAAATTTATCTAATTTTGAATTTAAAAACATCAGAAAAGATGATGAGCTTCTATTTGAAGAGGCTTAGATTTCGAAAATGTCCTTAAAATAATCTTCATAAATTTTCTATTATCATTTATATTATTATTTAATATTACTATTGTATCTATTTTAAGACGTACTCAAAGCATCATACAAACAAACAAAAAAGAAAGATATTTTCAATTAAAATTCACTCATTATATTATTTGTTGTTGTACTATTTGATGTAGATGGAGATTGTACAAATGATTTCTTAGATAATGATATTTTATCATATAAATAAATGAAAATTCTTACAATGAGACTACATAAAATACTAATAATACATAGAATACCAATAATAAAACCAAGTAGACTTAAATCTTTTTTTTCAATTGATGCATTTGAAAGAAGTTGATGATATGTCCATGAACTAAAAGAAAAATTCTTTTGTATATTCAACAAAAGTTTTTATAGTCATATTATACGTACATTGTTTCATTTTTATCACTTAATATATATGTAGCACTTGACATTATTTTATTAAGAATTATCTAACATATGCGCCAAATATATTTCATGAATGAAGATAAGATAATAATATAGATGTTTATTAGTCCTTGTCAATATACTAAATCACAAATAAGTAGATCATTACATTATCGATAATCTCTTGTCAAGGTTAATGTATTGTGTGCATATATATGTATCTAAATATATATGCTCTTTAGGAATTTTTTTCTTGAACCTACAAATTCAGTCATATTTTGTAATTAAAATGTTATATTGACATTTTGAAAATCTAGTCAAGGTTTGTTTATAAATAAGACATATAAAAACATGATGAATGAATCAATTCAAATTCATTCATTTATTTATTTTTTATCTTTTCAAATTTCAATTATTATCAATATGTTAAAATCAATAATTATTATCTTTGCTATATTTATTAATTTTATAATAGCTCAACAAAATATTATTGATGATCGATATGGAAATCGAATTCCACAACCATCATCATATTTTGGTGTTGGATATGGTATGAATGTTCCAAATAATAATAATAATATGAACAATAACAACAACAACAATAATAATAATAATAATATTAACAATAATAATAAAGATGGTCCTATTGAAGAATTTGGTCAATGTGGTGGTCTTGATTGGGAAGGTCAAAAAACTTGTCAAGCAAATTTAATTTGTTTAAAACGTTCAAAATATTATTCTCAATGTTTATCATCTGAAGAAGCTTCAAAGGCAACTCGACCATCACCACAAGTTATTCCACCTGGTGGTAAATGTCATGGTGGAAATATTCATGGTCCAATAGCTTGTGCTATTGGTACAGCTTGTTTTATTCAAACAGAAAATGTTCATGGTGAATGTAAAGCACATTGTCCACAAGGATGGTTTTGTGCAAAACAAACATTACCTGAATGGGCACCATGTGGTGGAGAAGGTTATATTGGTTTAACAAAATGTAAAGAAGGTCTTCAATGTTATGCACATTCAAGATGGTATCATGAATGTCGATCAGAATGTCCTGCAGGATGGAAGTGTTAAATTACATTATTTTTTGTTTTTGCTATTTTATCTTTTGTTTTTTTCTTTGATATACAAGACAAAAAAAAGCAAATTTATTAATAAAGTAGGTCATCAATATATATAGATAAAAGTCAATTTATTGTATCATTTAATCGAAATCGAAGAAAAAGTCATTACCAGCTGATCTATTTGTCGGATCTGATGAACCAAATTGATCTTCTGGTTTTGCACGATAAGCTTCAGATCGACCGAATAAAGCATAAGACATAAAAATCCAACCAGATATACTTAAACATGAAAGAATAATAATAGTTAGAATTATACTGAAAGACGATGTTTTATTAATCTCTACTGTTGAATTTAGATATAAATCAACAGACGTTGTTGTTGTTGTTGTTGTTGTTGTTGTTGATAAAAGAGAATTATTTATAAGAATCATTTTAATATAAAACTTTAAATAGCTAATTAATATAATGAAAAAATGATTAACATTATACTAGTATTGATTGATAGATCGTTTGTAATCGATTTTGTTCTGTAATCTCAAATAAGTAAATTTTCATTTGACAATATACAATTCCATCTAATCGTAGAATATGAAAGCAAAAAGAAAAAAGAAAAATGAATGTGTATACTCCTACACAAGTGCAAGCATCAGTAGGGATGTTTTTTTATCAAGGATATAACCTCAGAGAAAAAAAAGAGATCTATATGTGATAAATGAGCATTCTTCCTTCTGAGAATAAAAACGACGTGATACAGATGATGATAATGTTCTTTTTTTTGTTTTTATTCATAGAACCTACATGATTGCCATCATTAATTTGTTGGGAACAGTTATTAATTTTATACGAAAAATGAAGCATCCGTTCGTTTATTAGTACGACATAAAGAAAAACTTGAAAAAAAAAACAAGCATATACTAAACGAGACGTATAAATAACGACGCATGACTAATAGAACAGATTAGTTTTGTACATGTCCAAGACTGAAGTAAAGGTCATCACTATCATCATATTTATATACTTCCGATAGTGTATCCAAAAAAAGAATTGTTTGTCAATCAGTTAAATCTGAATAGAGAAAACATCTTATTCATATGATATTTTCATGAATAATAAAAGCACAAAGCAAAAAAGAAAACTCTTCTTTTTGGTCTTAGACATCTTATTTTGATTATTTTCTTTTCAGCATCAATAAGAACTATTCTATCATTCAAGTATATAAATCTAATCTACATTAATAGATTTACATACCATGAATGATTATATTTGTTGATGTAAAAAACAAATTGTTATTTATCACAAAAAAAAAACAAGTCAAATTACGACATTTTTGCACTGAAAAATAAATGATTTATATTTATTGATCTTTAATTCTTCATGGAAATTCAAGTAATATAATTAACAAAATAAATAATTATTTTTATTTATGATTACAATTCGAATTATTTTCTAAAACTCAATAATCTTTTATGAAAAATATAGACAAATAAATATATAATTAAAACTATTATTGTGTTGTGAAACAATAAATTTAAATTTAAATTGGTTTTTAGCTTCTTAATACTATTGAAATTTGAGAACTTAATAAGCTACCTATTATCAAAAGGATTACAACAAGCAATTTACTGTAAAATAAGAATAACAAAAACAAGGATCAAAAAGTACAATCATCATTGTATATAAGACACTCATAAAAATAATTGAATACAAGTTAAAATTCGAAACATCGAATACCATCAGCATGACATCGTCATTGTTAGTCAAGTTAACTCTACTAGCTGCAATCATTGGCATTGCTTATTCAGTAGGTCTTTATGAACAATGTGCTGGTGAAGGGTATGGAACATTTCCTTGTAACGCTGGCCTAACATGTTTTCGTCGAAATAACTGGTTTTCATCATGTCAATACGAGTGCCCAAAGAATCAAGGTTGGCACTGTGAAACATATATTACATTAGCACCATCATTTGCTGCTGGATGGGCTCAATGTGGAGGTGATGTTTGGGGTGGTCCACGAGGATGTCCAGCTGGCTATGCTTGTTATGCACGAAGTGTTTATTATTCTCAAGTGAGTGATTATTATTTATTACTTTCTGATTAATTTTAATTTTAATCATTCTAGTGTCGTCCAATTGGTGATTGTCCATTAGGTAAGAACATAGTCTATCTTGATGTGTTTAAAATGTTTCTTTTTTTTTTTAATATAAATAGATTGGGCATGTGCTGCATTAGTTCAAACAACACCACGTCCTACTACTGTTCCTGCCCCAGTCACTTTATCTCCCTATACACAATGTAACAATGTTGCACATGCAGTTTGCCCACTTGGAACAGCATGTTTTCGAAACAATGCTTTATATTCCGAATGTCGTCCATCTTGTCCATCAACATGGGCCTGTGAAACAGATGTCGCTGGATTAAATGAACAATGTGGAGGTATGACTTAAGCAAAGTATATCAAAGTATATGATTATGAAATATAATCTATTTTTATTTATTTAGGTGAAGGTTATGTTGGTTTAACACGTTGTGCAGAAGGTCTTCGTTGCTATGCACGTAGCCAATGGTACTCACATTGTGCTGCATAATGTCCAGGTGCTGGTTGGCTTTGTTGAAAGAAAAAGAAGACTGAAAATAACTTCTTATTCTTCTTCTTCTTCTGCTTTGATTATTTGCCTATGAAGAGAGTGAAAAAAAAGTGAAATAAACGATATTTAATGTCGTAATTATCTGTCAATATCTTTCATTTATTCATACTAATGCAAGCTTATGAGAAACGATAACTAGATGAGTTTTAACATCATAGAACGAATGAATTTTATAGCTTTTTTCATTGAGACTACAAGTAAAAATATTTCAGATCTTTCTTGTGGAATTTTATATGAACATGGCTGGAACAAGTCCGAGTACATTAGAAAAATCGTATGTTCATCATTTGGTTTGGTTAGATAAAAATATCGAAAATTATACTAATAAACAAAAACTAAATCAATGGCATGAATTGGATGATAAAATAAAACTTTTTTCTAATAAAGAAGACTGTATTGATTATATACAAAGACAAGATGATAAAAATACGAAATCTTATATTATATTCATTATTTCGGATTCATTTAGTCAACAAGTCATACCACACATACATAACTGTACATGTATTCTTGCAATTTTTATTTTTTCTACAAATTCAGAAAATTGTCAAAATTTAAAATATCCAAAACTTCGAGCAATTTGTGTAGATATATCTGATTTATTTAATAGAATTCGAAATTGTATGGATAGAGATAAAGTTTCAATTGCTTTTAGTTTATTTAACAAACGAGATAATACAGATGCAGGTAATCGAAATAATCAAAAAAAAAAAGAAAAATATCAATCGACATAAATTTTTTTTCCCCATCTAATAGAAACAACATCATTAAAAGATAAATCAGATGAACAATATCCAATTCGAAATTTAAAAGAAGATCAAGCACGTTTTCTTTGGTTTTATAAATGTCATCATTTTATGATTGAACTTGAAGATGATGATAGACAAGCTAAAGAAGAAATGATTTCTTGTTTTCGTACAAAATTTAATAAAAATGAACGAATATTAAAACCAATAGATGAATTTGAAAAACAATCATTAGATGATAATGCAAAACATGCTATTTGGTGGTATTCACATAATTCTATTATATTTCGATGTATAAATGAAGCATTAATTTCTGGTAATATATCAGTAATTTATTCATATCGTTATATTATTAAATTACTTTGTCGACAATTAAAAATTCTACATAAAGAATATAAAAAATCAATAACAAATAATAAACTTCATCTTTATCGTGGTCAACGATTAAAATTATCATTAATTCTTTTAATTTCAAAACATATAAATGATCTCATTTCACTTAATAGTTTTGTATCAACAACATTAGAAGAAGATATTGCAAAAAAATTTTGTTTAGGTCGTTCAAAAAATAATGATGAACCTGTTATATTTGAAATTGATATTGATTTAAATAGTGAACAAAGTATTCCATTTGCTGATATTCGTCAAATTAGTCGATATCCAGAAGAAGAAGAAATTCTTATTTCAATTGGATCTATATTTCGTATTGAATCAGTTAATTTTGATGAAAAAAATGAATTATATAGAATTCATCTTTCATTAAGTCAACATGATCAATTAACTGTTAATAAATATATTGAACAAACATTTGCAACAGAAATTGATTCAACTAATCAATCAATTCTTTTTGGTAAACTTCTTTTTGATATGGGAGAATTTGAATTTGCAATTGAATATTTCGATAATAAAATTCGTTGTCTATCAGATCATAATAATCATTATCGACCAACTTATTTAAATAATATTGGTGTGTGTTATAATGAAATTGGTAGAAAAGATCAAGCATTTAAATATTATAGAATGGCAAGTCAAATATATAAACAAACAAAAAATCAACGTGGATTAGGTGCATGTTATCATAATGTAAGCAATTTAAGATGATGGAAAAAAAATTTAACAACGTATTTTTCATTTTTTTTTCTGTAATGTTAATTGTGTAGCTCAAATTTAGATAGTGGTTTTAATAACTAATGAAGTTTTCTATTTGATGCATTGTATACTGAGATTTCATAGATGAACTGTGATGGCACGGTTTCAGAAGAAAAACCAGAAGCGGTAGTTTCCAGGTCATAGAAGATATCTTTTTAACAATCCCATTTTAAAGAGCATAAAATTCTGAACAAGATGAGAGATCACCACGTTTTCAATGACCTTTTCTTTTCTTCGAAAGTTAAATGCATCATAAAAACCGTTGAAAAAAATAAACTTTACAATAAATCCCCTTTTTACAATTTTTGTGATGCATTTGATTTTTTAAGTGAAGGTGATACAAAAAGCGGCGACCTCTCATTTTGTTCAAAATTTTGTGTTCTTCAAAATGGTTCTGTTAAAAAATAGTCTTCTGGGATCCGAAAACTATCGCGTCAGGTATTTTTTAGAAATCTTGCCATCATATTTTATCTATGAACTCTTGATATAGAACAGAGCTACCAACAGGCGTCTGCGAGACAAACCAGGTCGACTGATGTTTTCGTACGAAGATGGTATAATGACAAGTTCTTACACGAAATAGTGAATTTAAAAAAAATCTTACATTTCGAGTTATCACAAGGAATATAATATTACATTATACACAGACCAACAACTTTGGCCTGTTAGCTTGATCCAATACTAAGTGAATGGATCAAGCTAGGCAGCAGCAAAGCGGGCTGACAACTCTGATATAGAATGTATTAAATAGAAAATTTCATTGGCTATTAAAATCACTATCTGAATTCAAGCTAGTTGCTTTAACACTATAGGATAAAAATCCCAAAAAAACCTTGTTGTTAAACTTTTTTCCGTCACCTTATTTCGATTCTATTTTTATTTCTATTAGTCTTCTTTTTTTGTTTATTATAGATAGCAAGTTTTTATTATGATCAAGGAGATTATGGTAGTGCTCTTCGATGGGCATTAGATGCTTTAAATGAACGACAAGAATATCAATTAGAAAGAGCATCAACTCTAGATCTACTTGGTTGTATTCAATTAGCTCAACGTGATGCAGAAGCAGCGATGAATAATCTTCAAGAAGCTTTGAGTATACGTATAAAATATTTAGGTCAGATTAATCCAAATCATCCTGATATTGGAATAAGTTATTTCAATTTGGGTAAACTTGATTCAAAATTATCATTATTTATTGATGCTCAAAATAATTATTCACGTGCTGAAGAAATCTTTCGTCATAATTATCCAAAAACACATCCATTAATTACTGAAATTACACAATGTTTAGAACAAATCAAACGACAATTTCAACATTGATCCTTTTATTTTCTTTATTTTTATATTGTTTTATAGATTATTGAACTATTTACTGTCACATTTATAACTATTCAAAGAAAAATTGTAAATTTAATTGGATTATTAAAATGAAAACTAAGAATTCTCTTTACTTTGTCAACTGTGTGATCGTCACTGATTGAAAAAAGCCTGAAGTTGTCAGAAGAGAAAAAAATCTTGTTATTTCTATAAATCAAAATTTATAATCAAGCTCAACTAGTCTGCACTACAAGAAATGTCATGTAATACTTACATATACATGTATATTTATAAACGTCTGCATATTATTTATTCATTTCTACACGATGACAGTTAACTGTTATTCTAATCTATTTTATAAGCAAGAGCCATCTTTTTTATATCAGTTAAGCGCACATATTTAATATAAACAGTGTATTTGTTGACTCATTAGTCGGTGGAATTGAAGTTTATTTTAGAAAGTTTAATGAAAACAAAGGATATTGACGACAGTTGAACCATTATTGATTCTAGATGATGAATATGAAGAAGACAAAGTATAATTATAGGTGTATCTATTAAATATAAGTTGTTTTTATTCTTTGCTTGTTCCTGATAAAACATGTCAGATTTATGACATGACTATGAATTTTTTTAAAATCATTATAATTGTTCTCTATGTCATCTGAATTTACATGAATTTATTGTTATTTCTGCTTTTTTTTTCATATTTTTTCTTAAAATTCGAAATGAAAATAGAATAGTAACGAAAAGAAATCTTCTTGTTAGCGTATTGTAAAGATTGTATATAAATTACATGAATCTTGTCAAAAAGTCAAGATCTGTTCTTTTAGGAAAGAATCTTGCCTAACGATCAAGAATGAATCTGAGATAGATTGGGTAACATGAATTTTTGTTGCAATCAAATTTATAGATTCATTTATTATTCCAAATGAATTAACAACTAGAATACGCATATATTACTCTCACGTAACCAAATGTAGTATCTTATAAGCTGAAGAACATTCTGATTGTCATTACATGAGATAATTTTAACGAGACAATCACGCAAATAAACAAAAAATTGATATTGAATGTCTTTTATTTTTAATGATTTGTGATGTTGTTCAATATCGCAGTTCGAAAGCAGATTTGTTTTTTTGCTTTGATAAATGAAATCTAACTTTTCGAAACTATCCCATTCATCTTTCTCTTACAAATATCAAGCTAATATTTCGTAGTAAATCTTTAATTTTATTAGACAAAAAAAAAATATATAAACTTGATACATACATATACAAATAGTGTAAAACTATAAAAGAAAAAAAGAGAGAGAGAGATTAATCACTATCATGTTTGATCATTTTTCCATTAATATATCGATACATTGGACCATCACCAACATTATATCTAAATCATGTTCACATCGTAATATACAAAAAAAAACAAGTTTATCAATTTCTTATATTTACCTATAATAATTATTTGTTCCTTCAGGTAGATAAGCACGACGAAATGTAATATTAATTCTTCCAGATAATTGTGATGTTCGTTTTGGTACTGAATGTAACCATGCATGTTGTGTTTTACCACGCATAATAATTAAATCACCTGAATTAAGAATAAAATTTTGTTTAAGATTTTCATTTAATTTATTTTTCATATAAAAATCTCGTTCAGCACCTAATGATAATGATGCAATACATGGTTGATCACCTAACCAATGTTCATCGTCACTATGATATGTGA